ACAGAGGATCTGAAGCAGGCTCATTGCTGTCTGCACGGAGCCTGATGTGGGCTGGAACCCATGAGCCACAAGATCATGACCTGAGCCGAAATCAGGTGCCCAACAGACTGAGCCACCCAGGCACCCCAAAATGTAATGTATTATTAAAATGGCACTTCTAGTCAGTGAGGAAAAAGGACAATTCAAAACTGTGAAAACAACGTGTTTATTGTGGGAAAATGGGATTCTTACATCATTCTTTAAAATGAACTATAAGTGGGAAAAAATCAAATATTAAAATGAACAAAAACATGACATTTTTAGAATCTGGGTAGGGTAAGAGTCTGAGTGATAAGGCCTTTCTAAGCCTGATGGAAAACAGAGAAGAAAAAAACCCCAGGTATACCTGGGTTCAATTAAAATTTACTATACTACAAAGGTGCCTGGGCAGCTCAGTTGGTTGAGCATCTGGCTTTGGCTCGGGTCGCGATCTCATGGTTGGAGGGTTCGAGTCCCACATCAGGCTTTGCGCTGACAGCACAGAGCCTGCTTTGGTTTCTCTCTCTCTGCCCCTCTCCACCTGTGCTCCTTCTCAAAAATAAATAAACATTAAAAAATTTTTTTTTAATTTACTATTCTATGTAAGTAGATAAATAAGTGACAGTAGGAAAAACCGACAGCATTTCGTACTCATGAAATTCCCAAGTATTCAATAGAATCCGGCAAAATGGTAACACAAAGATAATCTAAGAATGGCAAAGAACATAAACGGGTAGATTACAAAAATACGAAATTGCTCACCTCACTCATAAAAATTACAAACGAAACTAGGTACTAGTTTTTCACAGATAGGATTAGTAAAAATAAATTTTATTACTAATAAGAATAATCTGATTATTTAAAACTGGATGAATAAATGTGGACAGGTACTGTACATAGTTGGGATGAGGTAAAATGGTTCAACTTGCCTAATGAGCAACTTGGCAATGTTTGCCTAAATTTAAGGTAGAGTTTGGTAGAGCAATTTCTAGAAATGCATCCTATAGACATATTCACGCATGTAAGCAAAGATATACATACAGGGAACTTTTTTCAGGAGTTTTTGTAACATAAAAACCTGAAGCCAACAAAGTATTGTAATTGGAAAATGCAAAATCATGATAAATCCATCCAATGTGACTGAATACTGTTTAAATCACGGGAAAAAAAAAACCCCGAAACCCAGTCGGTGTAGCTACAGGTATTCACGTAAGAGTCTTAAAAATACTGAATTGGTGAGTAAAAGCAAGATACGGAACAGTAATGTATAGTACAATCTAATTTCTTTTTTCTTTCTCTTTTTTTTTTTTTTAGTATTTATTTCTAGGAGCCCTATGTGGGGCTCGAACTCAATGAACTGTGAGATCATGACCTGAGCCAAAGTCGGATGCTCAATGGACTGAGCCATCCAGGTGTCCCCAGTCCAATTTCTGAGGGAAAAAAAATGTACGAGAAACTCTTCTGAGTGGCCACCTCTGGTGAGTGGGTCACTGGGTCACCGGGCTTGGGTGCAATGACCCTTTTTACCTCACACCTTTCTGCGTGGGCTCAAGCTTTCTTAATAAGCACGAATTAATGACCCCACCTTTCTTGCCTCCAATATTTGAAACATCTTCCGTGTGTCCCTGCAGCCCATCCTAGCCTGTGCCTCAGGTAATCCCGTTTGTGTCCCTGCTCACCTTTGCTCTTCCTTTTCCTTTGTGCATTTAAATCTTGTCCATCCTTCAAGGGCCAGCTCAAAGGCCAACAAATCCATGAGGACTCTCCAAACTTCTCAAAATAATGCTGCCCTCTTCCTTCTCAGTATTCCCACGAAATTACTGAGCACGAAAATGACAACACACAGGGTTTTGGGGTTTTTTGCAATGCTGTCTGCACTCAATTATTTAATTGATGTAATTTGCATCACACTGTTGTGTATTTCATTTACTTTCCAACCTATTTTCCAACTTTTTATTCTCTATTTTTTCCAAGTCAAGCATTTCAGAGAAAGCATGCTCAAATTTATTTTGTCCTCCCCACCCCACGTTATAGTCCATGTGAGGCACGGCATTCAACAAATACTTTTACTTTTTAAATCAATCATATGTGAAAGCTCCCTCAGGATCTATATGTATCAAAAAAAACAGACCCTTGTCATTTATGTTCCTAGGTCCTGGGTCACATGGCCGACATTACATTTCCTTCATTTAGGGATGTGCAAATGGCATCAAATCCACTTTTTAGAGCCAATTCACACTTTGTGTGTCTGAAATTTCCCATTCAAGAGAGTCCCCCAAAAACAGATCTGATTTGATCACAATTTGGATAGTAAGCAGAACACTTATTTAAATTAGCTAACAGCTTCCTACCTATCATCCCCATATACAAAAATAAACCAAAAAAACCCCCCAAAAACCAAAAAAACAAAACCTGGGCTCATAAAACAGTATTTCAGTAACAAGGATGTAAGAATACTGAATCCTAATTAAAGAAGAGAGATATAACATTGTAATACCAATTTTATCCAGCGTAAGAAAAATTTTAAGCTTTATTTTGATAAAACATTTCAGATTCCCTCATATCACAGCATATCAATAAGCAAGATGTACATGTACTGATTTTATCCTACATGTCAAGCCCCAAATTCCCAATCCCAGGTAAGCAAGTTGCAAAACACAAGTGCCGATAATTTAACTATAGGTAGTATTTTAAAGAAAAGTGAGTGTTCAGCACTTTAAATTAAATGAGGCTTTAATCAAAGAGAGACTTAATACCACAGGGTGTCTTTTTTGCAACAGTAATGAATTCAATCAAGTCTGTGATTCCAAGCTCGAGCGACAGTGTTCTGTTTGAGGCAAACAAGCAAAGGCAATCAACTCTTCGGTGGTATATTACAGTATGTACTATATATTTTTGGACAATTTCATTCCATTTTTAGCACTTGGGAATCTAAGGAAACAAGAATTAGAGAAGAGCTCTGATTCCACTTTGGGGAATGCAATGTAATGGCTCTGTCTTGGCACAAAGGTACACTGTAACACTGGTGGTGGTCTTTGATCAACTTCCCACGGTAACTGAATCACCAACAACTATAACTCTGATCAAGGAACACACAGATTTTACCAGAAGAAAATTCTGTACTTCCAGTTTTAAAAAGCAAACGGTTCTATGAAGACGCAACCATTTGAATTATCTGAGTATATACATTTAAGTTTTTACAACTTCATGCCTTAAGTTTTGACTTCCAAAGTATCATCTCCTGGACCCAACATCGAATATTTACACGCTATGTGTTTCACACAATAAAATTTTAGAAACCGTAAGTTGCACAAAGTAATCGTAAAAGTTTTTATCAAATTCATGTTTCCAGTGATCTTAAAAAAGACAATTTATAGTTGTTTTTTTGTTATCTAGAAAATCCTAACTGTATGTGAAAAATTAATCAAAGAAAATCTGTAACTCTGATAATTTTCCACCCTTAAAAGGCATCGCTAAAAATAAATAAAAGGGCTCCTCTGCCAATGAGTAATGACATCAAGGAGCTTCGCAACCCTAAGCCACTCTTGAAAGCAATTTTAAGTTTTACCTAATTTCCAGTCTTAATAGCAGTATTTTAATTCAGGAAAAAGATATGACCTTTTGAAGTCCGTGGCATCAGAAATGGCACTTTTGGACAAGAATCACAACTGAAAGCTAGTGGAAAAATGAACCTGAGCACAATTGCTCTCCACGGATGAGAGATATGCTCAAGGTACAGTAGAAACAGTAGTTCAGAAACCTTGAGAAGCTCAAATATCTTGAGCTATTTTTGTTTCACTAAACAATCTGAAGTAAGCATTATATTCACTTTTAAGAATAAAGGAAAATATAAAACATGAAACATGCAGTAGGAGTCACCAAAAGTTCGTTTCCTCCCTTTGCTTTGGGCACACTGTCTCACTTTTTTGTTCTCTACTTTGTTACAAAAAAACCCAAAAGCAGATCTCTGCTCAAAGCAGTCATACTTGAGAACACTATAGGGTGTGCATATGATTTTTTCTCTTTTCCCATCCACCCAGACCTGAAATCTACACAAATATTTCCATGTATACTTTTCTCCCATTTGCATGAAGTCTGAGCCACTATATAATTTACACGGAAAAAATCGGGGGAGGCAGCTAAAAATCACTGGCGGTTGCCAGGTTCCTCAGTCTGTCCTGCTTCTTTAATCATTTTTATTTTTTTAATATGATAAAGACAAAAGCTCCAGCTGGAAATTCACACAGTTCAGGAGCATGTTGAAAATGTTTTTTACCATAGTCCTTTAGATTCAAGTAAATGCTCCCAAATCAAGTATCATAAAGCTGCTAATTAGCAGCTCAAAATAATCAGCCATTCAAATGACGCTGGAAATGTCTGCTGAACTGTTTTTATGAAAGCTCCCCCTTGTATTCTAGAAGGTTCCAAGTACTAGTCCACAAACTAGCCACTTTTAAGAAGGAATTCTTTTGACCAAAATGTACCCTAAAACCAATCTTCTCAATTCCTTTCTTTTCCCAAAGTTATTCAATCACATTTTAAGGTGGGGAAGTATATGACCCAGGGTGTTTTGTATGGAACTGTACTCTTTAAGAAACCTAACATTTTAGTCAACGGGGAAACTTCACAACATACTTAAACCGTACGTATTTTAGATATGATTTCTCTGTGCTGCATAAAATATACTGTAAGGAAGTGTGTTTTGACTCAAAGGATACACTGAAATGCTGCAGTATGACAACATATTCTTAGCATAACTTAAAAGGAAAGCATGTATTTTAACAATTCCAATGTTTTGTCATTGGGGCTTAATTGGAACTTTCTTTTCTTTTTCCTTTTGATTCTGCATTTCTGTTTGAGAGGGCATCTTTTATTTTTAAGCTGTGTTTGAGACTATAAAGAATATGCTAATGCAACTTAATATATAAATATAAATAATATATGAGCAACATATACGTATACATATACCCACGACGCGAGCATCAGACCACTGATGTTGTACTTTCGGGGTTCACACGAATGAGTCTAGATGCGTTCCTCAGGTCCTGGAGTTGCTTGGCAGGTTTCCCCACACCTTCCTCAAACCTTTTCTCCACCACGGGGAGGACGGTCTCATATAGAAAGGATGCATTCTGTCTGATAAAGGCCTTTTTCTCTGGATCCTGCTCACACCGAAGGCTATAATCCACATGCTGCACAGCGACCAAAATGATCTCCACCAGGCTCTCCAAAAGTACCATGTGCAGCTCGGGGAAATACAGCTTCAGTGCCTCTTCCAAGAAGCCCATGGTCTGTTTGGTAAAAGCAACCACCGTGTAGCTCAGGTTCACCCAGCAGTCATCCCCGGTGTACTGCTCAAAGTTCCTCACCCCACAACTCTTCATCTCCTCTTTGAGCTTGCCCAGGGCCTCTGGAGTCATCAAGTTCATCCTCCTCCACATCTCCTCAGAGTTGCGATGTTTAGTGGCTTCGATGATAATTTCTTTGTAACTGTGCAAGGCCCCTTGGATGTCTTTCACCAGAAGGGCATGGATGATGAAGGTGAGGTCCAGTCCGATGTCACCCAGTTGCTGACAGTGCTCCTTGGCCACTTTGACACACTCAGCCGCTGTAGAGAGGCTCTCCTTACTGTCAAACACCTGCTTGCTAAAAGCATCCACGAACATGCCCATGGCTGATCTCGCCCAGACCACAAAGGCAGAGTAGCAGCCACTGTCAGTGCCTGCAAAATCCGTCTCGAATTCCCTTGCAGTCTCAAGGAGGCTCGTAAAGAAGACGTGGCATAGCTTATGGATGTAGAGTAAAGTGGCACCCTCGATGCGAAGCTGGCGGATTGCGGTATGCACAGCTGCTGCCCTGTTTCTCAAAAACAGCTCACAAGCCTTTGTGCACTGGCCAAGCCGGATTAGTTGAGAAACTGCCCTTCGAGTAGCCTTGGGACCACCTCTCAGGGAACGATCTGGGGAGAGTTCAAAAACTAGCACTTCCGTGAGCTGTCGGACGCGCTCATCCACTTTGGCCCTTAGTTCTTTAACAGGCGGTGGGCTGGGCTTATCTTCCAGGTAATGGTTCAATTTGTCCAGCAGGTCAACGGCCCCTTCAAAGTCTCTCTGGGCGATACAGACATCCAGGTCTTCAGGCAACTCCTGGATCCACTCCATTGAGAGGTCCACCTTCTCTTCTTCTACCTCAGGAACAGCTGGTTCGTCGTCTTCTTCGTCCTCAAATGGGTTACTGGCCTTGGAAGGCACCTGCGGTGGTCCTCGTGGGGCCGCTGCCTCCTCCTGTTCCCTGCGTCTTTTTTCACTGAGGGCCCTCTTGGTTTCCTCCAGCACTTCCAGCCACTCTCGTTTGATTTTAGCATTTTCCGCCTGAAAAATACGGCTCTCGGGAAACATTAGCAGCTTGAACATGTCTTTCATGGGCGGGTTGTCCTTGACATTGACCACGGCCAAACCATCCAGGGGATAGAGGGCGTTGTAGCGATACATCCCACGCCTCTGAGGCAGCCAGGTGGCCACCAGCAAACAGTCGTTCATGAGAAAGCCGTGCACCCGCTGCAGTTGGGCCATGTGGTCCGCCTCGTATTCCACCAAATCCCCGTTGTACACCAGGTACTGCCCCGGCGTCTCCAGCAGGTGCCTGCAACCTTCCACCTTCTCAAGCAGAGTGGTAAGAGTGCGCTGCTTCCCTTCCTCGCCCGGACCCGCACCGTCGCGGGAGGCGCCCCCGGGTGTGGGAAAAAAGCCAGCCTGGCCCCGCAGGTGGTCTCGGCCCCCCGCGCCACCTCCTCCTTCCTCTCCTCCAGAGGCCGCGGCGGCTCCGGCGGCGGCGGCGGCAGCCGGGAGCAGGGTAAGCGGGATGCTCTCCAGGCTGCTCTTCTGCTCCGTCAGCAGATGGCTGAGCTGATACATCTCGCTCTCCAGGTAGGAGATCTCGCGGGCAGTCTCTATGAACTGCCGGTAGTTCTGGTAGACGTTGCGCTTCAGGTTCTGCGCCGTCTCCTCCGCCAGCGCCTGGATGCGCTGCCGGTGCTCCTGCAGGTCCCGGTCCCCGTCCGACTGCTGCGAGAGCTGCTTCACGTACAGCCGGGCCTCAAAACCCCCCGATTCCAGCTGCCGCCGCAGACGGCTCGCCCCACTGTCCGACATCGCCATCGCCATTTCCCTCCGAGTCTCACGCAGTCGCTGTCACTACCGCCTCCGCGGGTGCCGCCGCGGTCGAGACCCACCCAAGTCCCGCGGAGCTCCAGGGCTGAGGAAGCAGGACGGAAGGGAGACGAGTACGCCTGCGCCCGGGTCTGAGTTTCAGACTGCGCCTGCGCAGGGGCCGAGCGCAGACAGCGCGCCTGCGCGGGAACGCCAGCGGCTAGGGCTCATGCGCCGGAGGCTCTGTTGCGGAAGAGTGGAGGGCGAGGCAGCGAGACGTGGGTACTGCGCATGTTCTGAGCGTGACGTTGGTATTTGAAGTTAGTGGCGAAGCGTAAAGGCGGTAACCGGTTTCTTGAAACCTTCCTCTAGACCAAGGCCTGGGAACCCACGTTTTGAGCCCACTAAGAGGTGTCATGCTGAGTTTTCTACTTTAAGCCGCAGAATCTTGGCTTCGGCGTTTGAGGCAAATTCAGTTCTCGTTCTCGGGCCGGTTATTCTTGAATTCTCGCGACATCGGCGGGCTGCCCCGAGGGTAGCCCGAGAGCCGGTATCTCCTAGGAGCCGGGTCAGGCCTCCGCCGCCGCTTCAGACAGGTGGAGTCGCGGCCTCCCCCGGGGGCCCGCTTAACGCCGGCGAACGCCGCCTGGGATCCCGGCAGAGATGGATGAGGATCTGGTGTTGGCACTACGGCTTCAGGAGGAGTGGAACTTGCAGGCGTCGGAGCGCGACCGGGCCCAGGCGCCCCTGTCGCTGGTGGACGCGTCCTGGGAGTTGGTGGACCCAACCCCGGATTTGCAGGCCCTGTTTGTGCAGTTCAACGATCGGTTCTTTTGGGGCCAGCTGGAGGCTGTCGAGGTGAAGTGGAGCCTGCGAATGACCCTGTGAGTCTCGAACCCCGCTGGGGAAAAGACACCGGCTGGCAGCTCTTCTGCAGCCGCCGGCCGCGAACTTCTCCTCTTTCTCCGTCCCCAGTGGTCCCAGGGTCTGTGAAATGCGGGGGGTGGAGGGGAGTGTCGGTGTCGGTCTTGTTTTGGGCCAGCATCTCCTGGTGTATCTCTCCCTTCCCTTCTCTCTCTCTCTCTCTCTCTCTCTCTCTCTCTCTCTCTCTCTCGTGCTCAAACAACTTGAGGAAAGTTGTGTGGGCCATCTCGCCAAGAGTTTGATTTATTAAGGACACAGTGAGGGGCGCCTGGGTGGCTGAGTCAGCTAAGTGTCTGACTCTTGGTTTTGGCTCAGGTCATGATCCCACGTTTGGTGAGTTGCATCCCCCTCCCCCATTGGGCTGACAGTGTGGAGCCTGCTTGGGATTCTCTCTCTTTCCCTCTCTCTGTTCGCGGGCACGCGCTGTCTCTCTCTCCCGAAATAAATAAACTTAAAAAGCAAATAAAGGACACAGAGAAAAGGATATTCCTTTGTTTTTTTGTTGTTTTTGAGAGAGAGTGAGCACGAGCGGGAGGGGGGGGAGCAGGGGGAGAGGGAGAGAGAATCCCAAGCAGGGAATCTCCACACTGAGTGTGGAGCCCCAGGTGGGCCTCGAACTCAAGGACCTGAGATCATGAGCGGAGCTGAAAGCGGGAGCCACCCAGGGGTCCCGAAAGGATATTTCTCTGAATCTCCCGTCGCTTGAAAATCAATTAACACATTCCAGATTTGTCTTATGGTGGTGCTTTGGGACCCAGGAGGGAGAAGCGAGTCTGCCCCAAAAAAAGAATGCTGAGGACACAGGGAAGCCTCCCAAGGGTGGGTGTTGTCCTTTTCCATGCTCGTTAAGATACCACCACTTAGTAGTGAGCTCAGGTGTTAGAAGGGGGACAGGGTTGACCGTTTCCATATTGCTGGACCCAAGGGATCTTAGGGGATGCCTCTAAAAGGATCCCTTTCCCACCAAGGAGAGAAGTCCCAATTTGAAATCATCTATTCCTGCACATGAACTGAGCTAACAAGTTTAAGATGGGATTGTGTTCTATGTGCTTGTCTTTGAAGTGCTACACGACAGCCTTAAGTAAGCCAGGTTAAGATAATGATATAAAACTGCGTGTAAAGAACAAATCTCCTTCATAGAGGCCTCTGTTACCGCTTTGGAGACGTGCTCATGGCGACCTGGCTGTAATCACCGCAAACCGATTACAGTTTGTAGGGAGGAGACTGGGCGCAGCAGAAGAGGATGATCTTCTTTGGGCTCTTGCAGCCTGGCAAGGCCAAGGGACAGTCACTGCCTGGCTGGGGCAAGGGATCTCACTACCATTCACACATCTTTCTCCCTAGGGTGAGATGCAAATATCTCCTGACAAAGAGGGTGTCCTGGTGGGAACTAGTGTGAAGTGATTTACTCTTTCATTTCGGTTTCCCTTTTGTGTATATTTGGTAAATAATGCTTTTGTGGTGGTTGTTTTCCAGGTGTGCTGGGATATGCAGCTATGAAGGGAGGGGCGGAATGTGTTCCATCCGGCTCAGTGAACCTCTTTTAAAGTTGAGACCGAGAAAGGATCTTGTAGAGGTATCCTTTGCATAAACTTGGTTCTTACCTCAGTTATTTAAAAATGCTTATTATTGATTTAGACTGATGTGAATTCACCTATACATGTAAAAAAAAAATTATTTCCTCACAACTTTTTTATAAATTTTTTTTTTCAACGTTTATTTATTTTTGGGACCGAGAGAGACAGAGCATGAACGGGGGAGGGGCAGAGAGAGAGGGAGACACAGAATCGGAAACAGGCTCCAGGCTCTGAGCCATCAGCCCAGAGCCTGACGCGGGGCTCGAACTCCCGGACCGCGAGATCGTGACCTGGCTGAAGTCGGATGCTTAACCGACTGCGCCACCCAGGTGCCCCTCCTCACAACTTTAATTGCAGGGCCAATAATAATGATTACCTTATATTTTTATGGTTCTTCACAGTTAAAGTTTTTCAGGTATAATACCGGATTTGAGCTTTACAACCACCTTGTTTATGTGCAGTGTGTGTTGTCCTCATTTTTATAAATGAAGAAATTTAAGGTTCAGAGAGCATAAGTAAGCTAGTTTAAGTTACATACTAAGAAGCAGAGAAAAATTAGGACTCATATCTTCCTATTGAGGCACACAAATTTTGATTGTCCTCTGTTCAGCCACAATGACGCTGTCCTCCCAGAATATCTCGCTGAGCTGGTAGAACCAGCCCGCGTGAGTGAGGGCACTTGACTAGCAAAATGGAGCCATAGGAGCTCCCGGATTATGGTTAGTTTGAGTTTAGAAGATGTCTGAAATTCCTCAAGATATACCCAGTATGACTTGCCTTGCCCCAATTGTATAACTTGAAACGTAGGCACCAAAGAAGATAGAGTGGTAGAGGCTGGATGGGACGTACATTAAAATATGCTTGGAAATACAAAAGATGCTGTTTTTAAGGATAATAAAAGGTAATGGGTTGCAGAACACTGTGAATATATTTAACACTCTTGAGCTGTACACTTAAAAATAGTTAAGATGTTAAATTTTGTGTTGTGTTTTTTTTTTTTTTACAATTAAAAAAAAAGTAAATGGCTACTAAACGTAAAATGGTACAACAGGAATACTTGATTAATAAAAAAGAAAGGAGGAATAAAGGAACAAAGCCCTCCAAAGAGAAGGGTAGGTGTGAAGACGATATCAGTAATTATATTAAATGTAAATGGACTAAGCACTGGTTTAAGACATGGAGTGACATACTAGATTAAAAGAGGTGTGCTTAAAGTCACACACATGTTAAATGTGAAAGGTTCAGAAAAAGTATATCATCCAAAACCCTAACAGAAAGCTATTGCAGCAAACTAAAGGTCTTAAGGGAAGAAGTTTTACTAGAAAAAAAAGTTCACGTTTTATAATGGTAAAATAATCTATTAAATAAAAACACATAATGATTCTAACAGTAATAATGTAGCTTTAAACTACATGAAGCATAAATTAGTAGAAGCAAAAAGAGAAATAATCGACCCATAATCATAGTTGCAGATGTTAAACACAACACTCTTGGTAACTCAGTGAATAAGCAGAAAAAAAACTGTAGACATAAAACAAAAAAGTTGAACATAATTAACCAAATCAACCTTCTGAGGAGCCCTAATTAGAGTAGTAGTTGCATAATGAATATTTATTGTGTAAATGATTAAGGAAACACACGAACAGTGTTCTTTTTAAAGCGATGGGGGTGCCTGGGTGGCTCAGTCGGTTAAGCGTCTGATTGCAGCTCAGGTCATGATCTCAGTCTGTGAGTTCAAGCCCCACTTTGGGCTCTGTGCTGACAGCTCAAAGCCTAGAGCCTGCTTCGGATTCTGTGTCTCCCTCTTTCTGCCCCTCCCCCACTCACTCTTCTGTCTCTCTGTCTCTCTCTCTCTCTCTCCTCAAAAGCAAATAAACATTACAAAAAAAATTTTTTTAATGTAACGGGCAAGAGGAGAACGGAAAATGTGTGGTAATGCTGTCAAGTGAGCATTTGCTATTGTTAGAAAGTTACAATATCAGATCAGTGTAAGAAGGCCCATGGAGGAACAGTGTGACTCTGGCCTGTACATAAAGTAGCGACCCATATTATAATGAATAGGATTCAGGAAAGGAAAGGACTGAGTCTGGTTGAGGACAGAGAAGAAAAGCTTCATACGTGTGTATTTTATTACTACCTAACATCACCACTCCTGCCTCTCACTCTTTATTGAGCATGTATTATATGCCAGATTTTGGACTAGTGTTCATCTAGTTAATGGCTAATCCAGTGTGTGCCTTTCCCGTAGCCCTGCAAGATTAGGATATCCCCATTTTAGCGACGAGCAGCAAGTTGTAACTTGTCCAAGGTCTTGTGCATAATAAGTGACAAACCCTTGTGGTAGGCTCTAGTTTCCCTGGCCCTAAAGCTCTTGTCCTGTCCCCTCATCACTACCGCTGTGTAATTGCTACTGCTGCAAATGAAAACATGGAGCTGAGCCTCACAGGACAGATCGGATTCTGACAAGTAGAGATGGTACAGGAAAACTACTCTTGGCAGAAGGAATAGGATGCTGTGAGCAAAATTGAGGCGTGAATCTCAGGGCATATGGAGGACTAGAAGTAGTTGCTTTTGGCCAGGTAGAGAACCCAGTGGTGGGAAATAGAGGTGTTTTGGGACCATGTTGAGTAGAACCTTGAATCTAGCCTAAATGTGGAAAATAGAAAATACATAAAAATAGAAACGTTCAGTGTGGTGCCGTGTGCCGCTTTCAGGATGTTTCCGTTGAACCCCAACTTAGGGATCTAAATTTATTCCTCCTTTGTAAGAATAGTTACTGATCATGACTTTAGAATGTTGGACAAAATTGAAATGTAGAATGCCCTTTGAATTTGAGTCCTAGTAGAGTGGCATTTACTTGAAAAGATTAAGTTCATTTTCAGAGGTACAGAGTCGATCATTGTAAAAGGGGTGTTTTCACAATGACCAAGTTACGGTGCTTGACACACCCGTTTTTCTGTTCGGCCTAATTTGATAAGCCTACAATTCGTTAATGGCAATCTGGTTCTTCTGGCAGGAATTCTTTTTATAAAAATTACGAACAGGGTTTGTTCTTGAAGACCTGTATGACTTTCACTTTTTAAAAAAGTCTTCCTATTTGTTAGGACCAATTATGAAACAGCAGCTTTAAATACGTTTAATTCTGCACCTATACGTCTGCATTTGTGGTGTGGGAATGAGCAGGAGCGTGGTGGTGGTGGTGTTTTAAGTCAGAGATTTTTGGAATTTCTCTAAGTGCAAACTCAGATGAAATCTGGGCCAGTCACAGGATTTACCTTCAGATGCTGTTCACCAGAGCAGTAGGTTTTAGTGTTTGTTTGTGTGTTTTAAAATTTTACATACTCAGAAATCCCCAAACTATGGAAAGCTGTACACAGAGAAATGTCCCACCCCATCCCTGCATCCAGAACTCCCCAATTACTGTATGATACTCTGGCCATTAGTTTCTTTTTTCTTTTATTGTTGTTTTGCAAATATTTATGTCCATTCTTATTCCCTCTCCTGATCACATAACATACTTCTTACATGATATATTGTGTACTGTCTTCTGCCTTTCGCCTTTTTCATTAAAACCATGTACTCTGGGGGCGCCTGGGTGGCTCAGTTGGTTAAGCGGCCGACTTCGGCTCCGGTCATGATCTCACACTCCGTGAGTTCGAGCCCCGCGTCGGGCTCTGTGCTGACAGCTCAGAGCCTGGAGCCTGTTTCAGATTCTGTGCCTCCTTCTCTCTCTGACCCTCCCCTGTTCATGCTCTGTCTTTGTCTGTCTCAAAAATAAATAAACATTAAAAAAATAAAATAAAATAAAATAAATAAAACCATGTACTCTGTAGGTTCCTCCAAATGATTTCAGAGATCTTTTTCATTTTTTTTTTTAACTCTGTATAGAATTTTGTAAGGATTTTCCATAGTTCATTCAACCAGGTCTCTATTGCTAGACACTTACTTGCATTGTTTTGCTACCATAAACAATGCCACAATGAAAATACCTTGCACCTATGACCTTTCCTATTAGCCTAGGTATTGCTGGGTCAAGGGATAAATGCTTTTGTCATTTTGTGAGATGTTACCAAATCCTCTTCCGTGGGGGTTTATAAAACATTTTGCACCTCCTGCCAGAGACAGCTGGGAACGTTTGCTTCCCTTAGCTTTACCAATGGGGTCAAACTTGGGGAATTTACTCCTCTAGATAAGCGAGAGGTAGCATGAATTTGTAATTATTTTTATAAATGAAGTCGAACATTTCTTTTCATGTTTATGGGTCATTTACGTTTTTCTGTGAGCCATCTATAACCTTTGCCCACTTAAAAATTGGATTTTAGGTCATTTTCCTGTTGACTTCAGTCGGTCTTATGTTTGAAGAATTAGTAGCCCATGAGAGGCACTGCACGTTGTTCTGAATTTGTCTTTTCACTCAAGGCCGCTTTCTCCCCCATGCGGAATTTTAAAGTTCTTATGTAGTTGAGCTCATTGATCTTTCCTTTTGGATTCTGAGTAAGAATTAAAAGGGCTTTCCTGCGACAGGAGTCCTTGACCTGGGATCTGCAGAACTTCAGATATCATGCGCTGAGTTTTGTGAATGTATGTGTACGTAATTTTTCTCGCAAAATGGTTCATGACTTAACAGTTTCTGAAAGGAGCCTGTGATCCAAGGGAAGTTAGGTCCCCAGGTAGAGAAGGAAAATGCATTTCTCTCTTCAAAAGTGCCCTAACAAATGCATTTGTATGTTTCTGTTTCAGACCCTCTTGCATGAAATGATCCACGCCTATCTATTTGTCACTAATAACGATAAAGACCGGGAAGGGCACGGCCCAGAGTTCTGCAAACATATGCATCGCATCAATCGCCTGACCGGAGCCAACATAACGGTGTGTAAAGCCGCACGAGTTTATGATTTTTAGTCGTTAGTTACTCTGTACTTCCTGGGGCTTCACTAAAACTAGACAACAGGGTGGAAACGAATACCGACTTTGAGGATTTTCCACGGTGGGTGGTAAGACAGGCCGAGAAAAGCTGACTGGCTTGTTTGGGCCTCACAGTAGCGCCCTTGCTGTCGCCTCGTGGCACATCTGGTGTGACATGTTGTGCATGGTTACCGCAGGCCTGCGGTACCTCTGGGTTATGACATTTGTCTCTTTGTTAACTTAGTTTTCCGGATTACGGCCTCCTCCTCCGATCGTTCCTGTGCTCTGTCGTTTCATGTGTTGTTACACTCACTGAAAGTCTTCCTTGATTCCTCTTTCTGCATAATATTGTAGGAAGCGGAGCCTGGGGTCAAAAAAGCGTGAGGAGTCCTGACTGCTTGGGTTGAGATTCTGGCTCTGTGGATGGTTAACTGGGGGGCCTCCTCCCTAACTTCTCTGCACCCCCGCGTACTCCCGGGCAGCACGAACTCATCTGCGGGTCCTTGGGGGGGATCAGAGGAGAAAATACAAAACGTCGTAGCCTGGTTTGAGCACAAGTTAAATACCAGTTGTTTTTATTACTGATGCATTTTATCAAGTGACCGTAATGTCTTTTTAGTTTTTTTTTTTAAATTATTTTGAATGTTTATTTATTTTAGAGAGAGGGAGAGCACAAGCAGGGGTGGGGGAGAGAGAGAGGGAGACACAGAATTCAAAGCAGGCTCCAGGCTCTGAGCTGTCAGCACAGAGCCCGACATGGGGCTCGAACCCACGAACCGTGAGATCGTGACTTGAGCCGAAGTCAGACACTTAGCCGACTGAGCCACCCAGACGCCCCCGTACTGTCTTGTTTCGAAGTGAACTTTTCACCCCCTGTGCCTCTCCTCCTACATCCTCTTCCTAAAATAGGCCATTTCCTCTGTTTTCTGTCAAATGCACTTCATCTTTGCAGTGGGCTAGACCTTCTCCCTCCTTTGAATGTCCTCAGCAGCTCTTGTACCTTTTATAATATTTTATTCTGCTCTCAAACCTCTGAACACCGGGTAGCTCTTGTTTCTCCGTAGACCTCTGTATAAGGTGTGTAATGCAGTGCCCCGACGGGGCCTTAACAAATACCGAATTGGACTGAACCAAATAGAATCTTAGTTCCTACAAAGATTAAATTCTTTGGTGTTTTGGTTATTTCCTGCCTTTAAAGGGCGGTAAAGACCGGTGTGGTGGAAAATGGAAACGTTCACCTTCTGTGTGTTTTTTTTTTTCTAGCTATTGGTTTTCATTTTCTCCAGAGCTCTTTTCATTATCGCATAGAGTTCCTTCAACGTCAAGAAAGTAGCTTGCATTAAAAATCAGTCCCATCAAATCCAGATTAGCAGAAGAAGTATGGAGCTGCTAGTACAGTACAAAAGGCTTTTAGTTTCCTCACTGGTGTTTTCACTTTAAGCAAAGTCCTGGTATACTTCCTCTTGTTCACTTGGAAAAAGAGCATCTATTCTTTTATCTCGGCCGTCTGTGTGTTTTCATTTAGGAGGTTTTATCGAGTGGACACCCCTTGCTTTTACAGGTTACATCCTGTTATAACAAACTCCACAGGGCATCCAGTTTCACAATTTTATTTTAGTGACTACGTCGTTAAAGAAGTCACATCCCCATGCTGGAGGGGGAGTTACAGGACTTGGAAGCAAAACAGATCCCACTCCCTGATCTTTTTGGCCAAGAAATGAAGCGAAGAAGCGGCCGGGCGTGCCAGATCTCTTTGCCCCTAAACCTCTGCCCTCCAGTTCCTTCTGTGCCTCATATACTGTGCGTTGCTGATATGCTTGCCAAGTGATGAGAGATTTTTGCTTAGGATGGAGAGGTGCTATAAAACTAGGTGTAGAGTTATGGAAGGCTTCACATTCCCTTAGGGGAATTTATTAGAAAATTCAGTCTCTGGTTAAGAAAAGTCTCATTGGGGCGCCTGGCTGGCTCAGTCGGTAGAGTATGCCACTCTTGATCCTGAAGTTGTGAGTTCAAGCCCCACGTTGGGTGTGGAGATAACTTAAAAATTAAAAAAGTCTCGGGGCGCCTGGGTGGCGCAGTCGGTTAAGCGTCCGACTTCAGCCAGGTCACGATCTCGCGGTCCGTGAGTTCGAGCCCCGTGTCGGGCTCTGGGCTGATGGCTTGGAGCCTGGAGCCTGTTTCCGATTCTGTGTCTCCCTCTCTCTCTGCCCCTCCCCCGTTCATGCTCTGTCTCTCTCTGTCCCAAA